GACTAAAAGTTCACTGAGTTTAGGATCACAAAGTTTTCAGAGATACCCTGGAGAACTTGAACAGTAGGTATAATAGAAACAATATTACATGTAGCCATTTTTTTAATCTGACAGAAGGATCTGAAATAGGACCGTCTTGGGTTTTTTTGTTTTTTGTTTTTTTTGGCAGCTGGCTGGTAAGTGCATCCAGACCCTTAGTATTATAACACCATGCTCTAACCAACTGAGCTAACTGGCCAGCCCCCAAGACCATGTTGCATATGAAATGCTAACTCTAAATTTTCATAAATTAAATGCCCTTAGCTGATTGTTTCTAACATACTATACATACAAAGTTGTTAACATTTTAAAGCGTACAAAGAAAAACATGTGTTGTTCCTGTACCTTCTTTGTATCTCCCAAGTACTTAGACCAATGTCCACAAATAAAAATGGAGAGACAGTATAGTACCAAGGTAAAAGCAATCTTTAAAGTCAGATGGTGCCTAGGACACAGTAGTTAGTAAAACATATCTAATCCAAAGATAAATGTCCTAGATTTATTATTTCAGTTCTGAAACATTCTAGTTGTGAAACAACAGGCATACTTAACTTCTCTATGTCTCTGCTGTCTCATCAGTAAAAAGAGAAAATACATATATTCTACCGTACCAAAATATAGGGCTGTTTTAGAAATAAAGGGAAAATTATATAATGTGTTTAAACACACTACCTGCCACATAATTAGCAAACAATAAATGGTAGTTATCATTATTATCAATACCATCAAATACCAACTAGGTACTACTAACTCTTAATATTTCAAGTATTGTTTTCAGTAAAGGAAATTACACTGGAAATTTAAATACTTTCATCTTCTCCAACTCCATATATAAAAATGATTAACACAAATTATGGGATTACAATAAAATATGTTGTAATACTATACAATCAGTAAAAATCTATAGTAAAAGAATATTTATGGATATTAAAAAAAGCTCATGATAGAGTTTTAGTCAAAAAGAATACAAAATTGTGCATTAAATAAGATTCTGGTTGTATTTAAAATGTTAGTTTTAATAAAATTAAGTAAAAATAAATTTAAATTTTCTTCTATGTATATTTTCATATGTAAGTAATATATTGAGAAAACACACCAAAATATCAACAATAGTTACATTTTTTCTTCCTTTACTTTTTTGCATTTTCAGTTTTCTACATTGAGCATGTTTCTTTCCAATACAAAGCATTTAACTTTTTAAACTTACAAATCACAAAGCTCTTTTGAGAAAAAACTGCTTACGACTACTATATCAATCTACCTCTGTAAATTCAAAGATAACCCTTTAACTGATATAATGACCAAATTTATACGGCATACATTTACTAAATACATATATAGAGGTGGAAATACTGATCTTCAAGTACTACAGCAGACTGGATATGTTAATAAAGTTTTTCTATGGGAAAAAGTCAGTAAACATAAAAAGAAAGGGAAGACAGAACCTTCATGTTCAACATGTCATGACTGTTCCAACTAAGTACCATCTCCATCATTAGGACAAAGCCATGCTTTGCACATATTAGGCACAAATAAATACTTGCCAGATCTGAATTTAAAAAAAAAAAAAAAAGAATCTAGCTTAAAGGCCAAGAATCTACTTTTTAAAGTTACTTTAAAAATGGAACTGGTGGCTTTCAAACACAATATTTACAGCAGAAAACCAAATGAACATGTCTTACGGTTGTATGTGTATGTGCATCCACATGCACATGCAAGTCTATAAGAATGCTGTTAACTTACACTGACAGAAAATCAATGAACTTAAATGTTCATCACCAGTGTTAAAACGTATTCATCCTCAGACCTTTGAAGTAAGGAAGAAAAAAAAGAAGATACAAAAATAGAGGAATACCAATATTTAGAATTTGAAGCAATCAATTACACACAATAAAATACAGCAGAATGGAAGTTAATCTCCAGACTAATCTCCACTTAACCAACTTATCATCTTATTTTTATTATTATCTCCATTTTCCTCAAAAGACATGCAGACTTCACGCTCACAGCACAATCAATGTTCATGGCTAGTATTTCCATACACATCTTGCTCCAATACCAGTTTGTTATAGTTATACTCATTATAATTAATTTAAATAAATACTACATAAACCAATCAGTTGTGAGTATAAAAAGGGCCATTGTTTCTATGAAAACTAAGTACATTGGAAAGATTCAATAAAGACAAGTTGCTTTTTAAAAAATTAACTTAAGATAGGTAAGATTTCAAGAGATTATTAAAATCTGCTCCAGACTGCTTCACAAATGTCATTAGGTTATCACTCCAATTTATAAAAATTAAAACCAGAAATTGTAGTCTATGCAACAGAAGTACAATTTCTGCAAGAAAGGCAAAGAAGTCCAATCAGTAGATTCATATTTATATTTTGAAAAAATGGTAAAGCTTTGGTTGTAAGTTAAACTAAAATATTCAAAGTATATGCATATCATTTTTAATGATCCACTTTAACCGACTTTTTGATAACTAACAAACTATTTGGTCCCAATTATGTTGGCTAAAAAGGTAAGTACAGTACTTAGCTTCTTGCAACCTGTTGTTCATAAAGAGAATATAACCTAGACTTCTAAGAAGCAAATCAAAACCTAGTGCCTTTTATTCCTAGACAAGTCAAACTCTATACATCAGAACTGATGTTACTGCACCCTGATTTTACACATGTACAACATGAGCTTTCTCCCAGATGTGTTTATAAATATAAAACTATTTATAAAGAAAAAGTCAGTTCTTCAGCAGGTGTAATTCAATAGCACATTTTGTTTGAGCAAATAACTATTCTGCTAATACTGACGAGTTCTATCACATCACGTAAATGTCTAGGAAAAATTCATATCAATCCTTAGAAATAATTTTCTCATTTGAAAATTTCTATCCAATCTTTCTAAATTACATTTTTAAAAATCTTTTCATATCATTAGGGAAATGCAAATTAAATATCTTAATGAGATACCACTACACACACACCAGAATAACTAAATTAAAAAATAATGACAGCACCAAATATGGACAAGGATGTGAAGAAAGTGTAATTTTCACACACTGCTAATAGGAATGCAAAACAATAAAGCCGCTTTATAAGTTAAACATACACTTAACCAGATAATTCAGAGAAATGAAAACATGTATTCACACGAAGATCTATATAAAGAAGTTCATAGCAATTTAATTCATAATAGCCAGAAAATGAAAACAACCCACGTGTCTACTAACTGGTGAATGGATAAACAAATGGAATACTACTCAGCAATAAAAAGGAACAAACTATTGATAAATGCAACAATATAGATGAATCTCAAAAGCCTTATACTAAATGAAAGAGGTAAACATAAAAGACTACATTCTGTACACTCTCCTTTTCAGGAAATTCTAGAAAAGGCAAAACTACAGTGATAAAAAGCAGATCAGTGCTTTCCAGAAGCCAGGGGTTGGGTAAGAGGGGACTGAATGCAGCAAAGGGCATGAGAAATCATTGTGGGGTGATGGAAATGTTCTATATCATGACTGTGTTATTACATGACTGCACATTGTTCAAAACTAATCAAATTGTACACTTAAAATTGATGAATTTAATTGTAAGCATAGGTCAATAAAGTTGACAAGGAACATTAAAGAAATAATTTTATTAAAAAAAAGTTCTCACTTTGCTCTTTCTATAGAAGTTTTTCAATACAACATGCTTTGCTTACACTTTTTCTTTTTAATGTAAAAGCCTATAATCCCAGAATCACTAGTAATAAATTTCTTAAAGTTCTCTAGTAAAGACTGAACAGATTAAGACAAGTGATAAAGTTGCACTGTCAGTCTTTATTGCCAACTAGATTGGGTAATCAACAACCAAATGTCCTTTTTATTTCAGAGATTATTATACGCCTAAATATATGCTACTTTTCCTCATCTAAACTTTTAAAATTTCAATTCACATCATTATTCTGACAGGTTTAACTTCATAATTAAAGTGATTTATTATCCACTATCAGTTTATTTTTAATATCACATTTAGATAGAAGAGGTTTAAAGGTATTAGATTCAATATTTAGATTTCCAGGTGACTTAATAAAATAAACTTAACTGTGCCAGAAGCAGACACTGAGGTGAAAGTGATCAACTATCATAAAAGCTTTAGGGAATACATAAAAGTAAAACTAAAAGAGAGGTAGGTGGTAACTCACAAGGGCAGACCTGACCCACAAATGCATTGTTTGGCCTGCATGGTGTTAAAAATCAAGAGATCTCTCATCTAGATTCCAGTTTCTCTTGAAAAATGAGAAGCTCTGGCAAGACTGGGCCCACAGTCCTAAATTACAACCATCAGCTCAAGAGCAGAAAAGACTGGACTCTTTGGTTTGTCCAGTCTCCATGACACTTAAGCTCACTCACTATCACTAGCTGCAATGGCCACATGGATCCAAATCTTCAAAACCTAGTCAGGATCATTTCTTCTATGTGCCTCGACTGACCATAACTGAGAGTCATATAAAAAGAGTTTCCCCTAGATCTGTTATGCTTAGTACTTCCATCCAGGTAAACCCAGATAGTAAATTATAATAATGCATATGGTTACTGTGGAAAGCAAAATGTATAATGAATGCTGACAATGTAGTACAGTGTGCACGAAAATTATAAGCAATTTAGTATGTTTCCATGCTAAGCACAGACAAATCCAGAATCTAAAATTTTATTCGCTCCATTCATCAATGTAAGAAAGCAATTTCTATGTGCAAAATCAAAACAACAAGAAACAAAGCGTCTTTGTTCTCTACCACAAAACTGACTCTTTTAATACACATAAAGAGTACATGAAGTATACTTCAAGGTTTTAGCAAAGGGGTAAAATAAACAAAATAAAGCAATACATTAGGAAGTAAATAGTAATATAATTCTAAGCATTTATTCATTAGCTAGAATTATTATTTAGCCCATTTAATGAAAAGGAAATTACCTTTTAACATACTTTGAGGTACTTGCTGAGATATCTCTTTGGAATTACCAAAGAAAAGTCTGAAGAATCCTAGATAGAAAGAACAATTAGCTAACAGATAAAGGAAATATAACAGACTTACCCGTTCTGCAGTTGTTTCCTCTCCTGGAGTCTGGGCGAGGCTGCTTACTTCCAACCGCTCGATCCGTTCTGCAGTTGTTTCCTCTCCTGGTAGACTTGCAGCAGCAGCAGCAGCAGCACAAGCTATTTCCATCATAGCAGAGCTGGTAGGAGCATCAGTTGTGGATGAAGACCTGGGTCGGCCTGACTGCATAACAACTGCCATCTCCTGACCAGATTTCCTGTTGATTTGGGGACTTCCCTTTGGGGCCTCTGGCTTGCCCCGCCTACTATGCAAGCTCGTCCCTCTCTTCATCTTGGGTGGCACTCTGATCTGCTGCAGGACACGATTCAAAGCTGTGGGGTGGGTGGGGACACCATCAATCTCAGCACATGCATTCTGGCTTTCCAGATCCATTTCAGGTTCTGGATCTGTCTGAATTTGCTGCACATGATGTGGAGACACTGATGACCTCCTGCGCTGGTGCTGAAAGAGATGCTTCAAGCCTTGGCCAATCACATTAATGTTCTCCAAAGCATTGTGGGTCATTTTAGACAACTTTTGTTCTGATTCTGTCTGCTTTCTGGCCTCTGCATCTTGGGATTTGCCTCCAGGATCAGGGTCCTCATATAATTGTGCACTGCCCGAAGACTCCATCAGTAGACTTAATATGCTCATTTGCAAACTCCAAAATGTTTAAACACACCAAGACTGTCAAATTAGGTAGGCATCTGCTTCAACAGCGACTACGCATGCAGCTGTGAGACGGAGGCTTCATGCCTATCTGTTCCCCAATGTGCATTGCAGCACTCTTCACAATAGCCAAGAGCTGGAATCAGCCCAAATGTCCATCATCGGATGAGTGGATACGGAAAATGTGGTATAAAATGTTTTTT